CACTTGTGCATATGTAAAGAATTTTATGATGTGATAGAATAAAAGAACAATAATTAATAAATCTATTCCAATATTTGAAACTAAGTATTTATCAAATGGAAACTTACAAATAATCAGACTATGGCTATAAACGTTTTAAATAATACCGGTAGTATAATATTTAAAAACTGATCACGTTATTGTCCTTTTTTAATATTGAAATTGTAATTTACTTTTGACAGTTATGTCACCACACCTTTCTCATTATTTTTCGGTACCAATAAAACACGGTTAAATCTAATAACCACACCAAAGATTTGGGTTTAGGAAATTACAAAAATGTAAAATATTCTTCATTGTAATTAATTTGAGAGTCGACAGGAAGTATATGTTGTATTTCTAAATTTAAACGTGAACAATTAAATTTGTTGATTTAAATACATAAATATTTTTGAACAATATTTAGAGTTTCTTTAAATAATTGTTTGTCCTACAATGAGAACTCGCGAGTATTCATTTCAATGAAACCAATATTGTTCGGATATACTACGCATGCTTTATTTTTTGTAAAAAACTACATGTTCCCGACGTTTATTTTACTTTTCGGAAACCGTGATCACGGGCAGATATGAATGTCTGTCAGTCGGTCTTGTTATTTATCATCTACCACCATCGATTTCTTAATTGTCTGGCGTACCGCTCTGGATGCCGGCAGAATGCCCTCACGGTGTCCCGAGGTCCTGCGGTGTGGTCAAGGGCATGGGATTATATATTTTTAAGGAGAGGTCCCAGGTGTTGGACAGATTTCAGCCATCTCCTTTATTGAATTTGGGACGTTTTTTAATTTCAATAGCCTCGCGGATTAACCTTCTTGTCTTGCGGAGTCTTAATAAGCGAGGATTTGTGGTTTATCAAACCGAATGTTATGGCCTGGTTTGTCCATTGCATGTTCACCCACTGCTGACTTCGACGCTCGCCTATTTTTTGTGTCTGAGATTTGTTCTTTAACCCTTGTACCGATGCTTCTCTTTGTCTGTTCAATGATCGACTGGCCACACATACAGATAGATATCTTAATGACAACTCAACCCACCACCCTATCCAGCTAGCTACCGTTGGCAAATCTTTGTTGTAGACGCACAAATATATTTACTTTTACATCATTAAACCTTGTTTGAGCGAACATAAAATGCGAACCTAAATATATTTTGTCATAAAATTTAAATTAAATAAAAATATGAAAACATAATTTCAATAACTACAGTCAGTATGTTTATTCACACAACCACAATTGAAAACTATTCCCATGTTCACATTAGTATCCATCATATCACAAATATTTGGTTTAGTTTAGTTGAACTCATTAATTGTTAGCTAATATTAACATAAATACAGAATTTACTATATAACAACAAAATATTATCTAAAAGTATTGTTGTGTACTACCATATATTTGCGATTGTATCTTATTTACTCTTTTTGACAGAGGTTTCAAATCGTTATTTCAATTTTAATTTCTAATTCATTGGACGTGACGTGTAGCCAAGGTACAGTCACGTCCGATATTACTAGCGCGATTCATCTCTGGCCTAATTTCAACAATGTACGCTATCTCACATAAATTGTGCGAGTTCAAAGTTTTATTCATATCAAATTACTCTATATGGTCCTGCAATAGAATTGAAATTTGCCTGTATAGCTTTAGCAATCACGTTCACACTGTGTATAGCTGTTACAAAGCCGTTACTCCCTTTGAATTCTTATGTTTAGTGTAATTTTTCATTCTTCTTATAGATATTACGAATTATTGCCTTAATAGTATCTATATTAAAATTTAAAGTTTAGTTTTACTTTTAACAGGAATGAGGAACTACTGTATTATAAGAATTTGCAATAGCTATAAATGAAATTTTCTACTATTTTAAAACAAATAATGTTTTAAAACTTTAATAAACATTGTAAAAAAACAAAGAGAATAAGTGAAATGATTAATGAAACAGCGTCGATCAGAATTTAATTTCATCGAGCTTACTGAAAACGAAACTGATGTGAATATAAGAAATGTGCAGTTTTGAGCGTTTTCAACATTTCTCTTATCCAAGTTTAATCAGGAATCGAAGACAGCGCTATGTTTGGTGGAGTCACGTACAATATTGCTTCTGCGCGTCCGATCTCTACCTGCCACTGTTGGCTGGAATTAAAAACTGCTTACAAATATCGAAAATATTTTTCACTTTTGTATTCGTGTGAACGTATTGGGAATGAAGATTAAAAGAAATGTATTTCACCTGGATATAACATGTCTGTCAACGGGGCTTACGGGATTTCATTAATATTTTTGATAAATGGTTGTTAATTATAATCAGAATTCAATATGTAGTCCACCTATACATATATGACATAGTAAATGTAAATCTCTGCTATTATTGGAATACGAAATGTTATTCAAAAGAAGAATAAAGGAAAGAAAACAAAGAACTTTAACAAGATTATATATTCCTTGGGATTTTTTAATGGAATATTTTAACAATGTAAACTGTATAACTTAATCTTACAACGGAGTGTATTACACTATTGAACTTGTAATGCTAATTAAATTAATATCTTCAGATATTTAAATGTATTTAGATTTAGATACCTACCTTTTTTTATGGGAAAAGGGGGCAACCGAGCAGACGGCCTACTTGATGGTAGATAGTTACCGTCGCCCATTGACATCCTCAAAGTAGATATGGAGATGTTTAGCCGCCCTTGTTTGGGGAAAATGGGGAGTAAAAGGTGGGAAAAGGAGGGAAAGGAATGGGTGGGAAAATGGAAAGGGCAACCGGCTTTCTCACTCACCGGACGAAACGCAGCCATTAAAGACTACTTCACGCCGATTTTCTGTGAGAGGGTGGTACTTCCCCGGTCGAGCCAGCCCATGTTCGAGCTGTAGTAACTTAACCACAGCTAGGCTCTACCACCTTCCGAAGCTAATTTTCATAGCTCTTGCTATCTTTCTGCTATTGCTGTATGCTATACCCCCTTGTGACAGTCATAAAATCGTCAATTAGGAAAATTGAAAAACCTTATGGTATTTCAGCAGTGTGGCCTTCACTAAGGATTATCGACCAACTGAACAGTTAAAGCAGAGGCACTAGCCCATTTTAAAGTATATACTACAATACAAACATTCATAAATCTACCCTTAAATTTTGAATAATCTTATATCCACCATCCTATTTCTATAAATATGTAACCGTTTAGAAAATATAAATAATACATAAAATTTCTGTAAAAATTTCAATAACGTTTGAAAAATTTATATATATTATAAAAGTATTTATTACTAATTCCCAATATAATAGAAATATTAATTATTTAATGTTATAGAAATCATAATTAATGAGGTGGTAGAGCGTAGCTATGTTCAAGTTACTGCAGCTCGAACATTCGCTGGGTCGGCCGAGACAGAAAGTGGAGTGGTCTTTAGTGGCTGCGTTTCATTCAATGATTACCCTTTCCCTTTTCCCTATCTTTCCCAACTTTTCCCCCTCTTCCCCAGTCAAGGGTTGCCACACGTCCGCAAATATATGTTGTGGCTATCGATGGGCCACGGTGCTACCTCAATCAGGTAGGCCGTCTGCTCGGTGTGCAACCGAACTTTATCATAAAAAATATATAAAATAATTCTATATATCACATATTCTGTAAAACTAATTTATGTAAAAGAAAATCTGAGTGTAATGTTTTATGCGATTATTAAGATGTATATACTTAGGTATATGATATATTGCTAATATACTCATAAACCACTGAGACAGGTTCGGTACATGCACAATCTGATTATCTGCCAAAATAGTCGAGAAGCCTGATAACATCAAGCCCTGATAATACATAAGGATTAGGGGAATACAAACTAGCGTATACATTAATTTGATTATAAATTATTACACTATCAGTATTTAATTAAGACTTAATTACGTATGATAAATCTTTGTAATTAGTACATATTATTAGCAGCGTATAAAATGATTTTTTGTTAAAAATTGTATATCATAATTTATTGAATAAAAGTTTAAATGCCCCTTTTATTTAATCTTTGACAATAATTTGAAATGTAAGTTAAATTACACTATAAACATTGATTTTTGTTTTATTTATATTTTATAATAATATATTATTCAAAACGGAACGCCTAACATAGAATTTTAGCAAAGAATTAATAATAATGATTTCTCATTACATTACAGGATTTATTATGTCGATATTTTTTTTATATATGTAATAAAAACTGTATTTCTTTTAGCTATTGAATGAAATATGAACAACATAATGCTCCTTATTCTTAATACGATACTGCTCAATTACAACATGCTTTTGATTCAAGCCTCCAACCATTAATTCTGAAACCTAGACAAAACTTCGCCTAATTAATTGGCAAGCTTTATCTTCAGCCTCGTTATAACTTCTTCAGATTGTTGCCGATCTTGGAAGCGCCATTTACATGTGACGATCATACATTCAAATAATTGTCAGGAAACGATTTTGTGTACAACATTGAATTGTGTTAGAATTGAGACAATAATCTTGAGTTTTAATTATTTTGAAGATATTTGTGGATTTAAATACAACAATAAAACAAAATATCTGTTTTCGATAAACAATATTTATTTTAAGCAAAATAATTGTATAACAATTAAATAAATTCTTAAATTATATATCTTAATCTAATGATATATTTTTAAAAATAGGTTGCCGACAAAAATATCGTTGAACGTTAATATGAAGATTATAATACTTCTAGTAATGGATCTGTACTTATAATGTGGCAGTGCTTTTCTTTGTTTACGATATAATAAAAGTGTAAATTAATATTTATACACTCTTTTATTTCGCGAGTATTTTACGCGTAGTATGTTAATTAATGTCACGTTTACTTCAATAAAATAAATTCTCAATTGATCAAGATTTGCATAAAATGAATGTACTTTCATGTCAATTTTTCTCATATGATCCTTTAGCAATTGTATAAAAAATATTTAAAATTCATATTTAGATGACAATGTCACTGAATCAGAGAACTTGTTTAAAAGGTAATCATACTCATTGGGAGAACAGAGAGGAGTATCAACCCGTTGTACATCGGACAACTTTGAAAAATCTACATGGTACATTAACTTGTCGAAGTTAAATCCAACCATTGAAACAAAACGTTGACCCCAAAGTATATCATATTCGGTGAAACTTGACCTTGCTTGTACTGGCTGACCAGTTGATTCAATAATGCCTTCAAATACGACCACTATTTCCATTTTACAGCAAAGTAAATCAGCTGCGGACAGTCTATAAAATGGACTATTTGAATCTATAACATGAACTACAGTTATAGGCCAAAGGAAGAACGCCGATTCACATTCATCAAAATCGAGTTTCAATTCGATTTGTTCAGTAACATTAAAACTATCATTGTCAGTGTCGAGCCTAATAACATAAGCCTTTGGTTGAATGTTTAATATTCTGGATTTCCTCATGTCTCCAACACGAAATATAAAACAAAATTTATCATTCCTTAGATGAATCACAGCATGCTTACTAAAAAGTATAGTTTGAGTCCTTGCTCTTGGTCGTGTTAATTTGGCAAAAAGGATACCAACCATTATGGCTTGGAAAAATGAACTAACAATGCATTGAAGACACATTGCTATGATTGTGTTTGCGCATTCCAACGTTATAGCTCTTTTACCATAAGCGACAGTGGTATGGACTTCGACGCTAAACAAGAAGGTTGATGTAAATCCATAAATATTCTTAACACAAGGCGTGAAACCTGATATATTTTGGTTAGGTGGAAGATTTTCTTCTAAAAAGTCACCATGGTTATATGAAATTATATAATATATAAGCCCAAAGAATAACCAAATGCAGCTATATGCTGCAAAGAAATTGAGAAGTGTCCAACGCCATCTTGTTTCCAATAATAAACAAAAATAATTCGAAAACACTTTTAAACCTTTTGTTGCTCTGCAGGAGATATTGAATTCACCGCTTTTAAATACAGCACGAAGATATTTTCTTCTAATCGATTTCGAACATTGTGATCCTGAAAACAATAACATTATGCCATTGAAGTGAAGTGAATGTTGAAATAATTATTTCTAAAACATATAAGTGTCTTTCTGGTCAATGGGACGTTGTAGGATTGCTGTTGGGAATATAACAATTTGTATGAAACACTTCACAGTAGTAATACATATTTACTTACGATTAAAGGGATGATACGTTCCGGGTTGTATCAAAGTTGCCGCAGAATTTGAACCATCCTCCATTTCAAGACTTGTTCCTGAATAAATATTTCTCCATTGTTTACTATCCCTATTCATATCTGCCTAAAACCAATAAGTAAAAAGTAAATTTATACTTAAATAAATTCCTGACTCTTCTACTAAGCTAATACATATATTACTTCTGTCAATAATAATTTAATCAATGTGTATTTCTTTTATAGAAGTATGATCTTACTTACCTTGTATAACAGTAGTTCATTGATTTATTCATTTGACTGCTGATAATCTTGCCAAGAGAGAAAACGATACACCATCCATAGTTCTAACACTCACTCGATTCAGAGCTCTTCTAAATAACATTACGGACAAAGTATTTAAACTTGTAATACTGTAAATATGAGATAAGATAATTTGATTCCGTGACGTTTAATCAAAATTCTATGTAAATAATATATTATATGCCTTGAAAACTATTTTGAGAAACTTTTTTAAAGTTACATATAAAGTGTATGTATTAATACATTTGTAAATTGACGCTGGTATTTGAGTTTCAGTCATCTAGCAACAACTGAACCCTACCACATATGTGTAATGGAAGACAAGCTAGGATACTTTGAATATCAAGTAGTCGTGTGTCGTATTCGAACAATTGTAAGATGTTGACGAGTGTTATTTTGTTTACCGAGTAATTGTCACTTGTATCGAAAACGGAATCCAGAATCAAGGACTTCGCTCTCTTGCCGTTGATACCGAAGTAAAATATAATATTGCGAGCGCGACATTTACACAATTTAATATGTTATATTTGTATATATTAAACTCAACGGGAAAGTCGTCACTTTAATTTCTACAATGAAAGTGGCAACTCTACGACCACGTTTCATATATTATGACATGTTTTACATAAAATGAATTAAGGTACATTAAAATATAAATACAATTATCTTATAAAATGTTTACTCTCATGAAAACCGTGAACCAAAATAGTATGTGTTATTATTAGAAAATTAAATATATTTCATGTTTTATAAAAAATAAGTCTTTTACATATATTTTCTTGTTTTCTATAACTATAACCAAAACTCATAAATAACAAATTTAACTACACTTATTTTAAACTCAACATATTATTTTTTTTTTGTTAAGGTAATTGATAATGAGATCAGTAGAAAAGAATTATTTATTATATTAATAGACTTATCATTTTAAATTTGAGTATTATTTCATGTAAATTCAAGTCATTAAGTGCTATTAGCTGTTAAGAAAAATGGGAGATCCAGGTTTCATCCACAATAAAGAAACGAGACAAAAAGAAATTCGATAGGTTTGGAACTTTTCTGGATTCACCCTTAAAAACAAATTCGTTATTTTCTTTACCTATCGTTCAAAAACCTCAGCACCAGTTCTTTCTCAGAAGTTTCTTTGAGCTCATCGAAATGAAATCCATATTAGGTGAGTTACAAGTCTTATGCTCTGTAATTAGTATTGTACAGTTTAATGGTATTAGAAAAAAGTCTATGGTTGGTAGAAAAACTGTGCTTTGATCTGTCGACAGGAAATATCCAGTTGCACCCCGTTTTATTCAGTGGCAGATTTGGATGGGCTTCTCTACCGTTGTTCATCATAATCTCAAAATCATTTGAAAACCCTCGACTATCTAATGTGCAGCATAGCCTCTTTATGTTGTTCTTGGGTTGTTGGGTATATTTTTATTCAGTTTTTTTCAAAGACTTTACTAGTGTTCAGATTTAAATTTTCTTTAGTTTGTAACTATCCATCCATTCTGTTATTTGGTATGAGAATCTTTCTTGTGTTTTTCTCTAATACAGAACTGTTAATTAGAGCTGAATATTAATGTTTTGACTTAAATGTAACAGTTGCCATTGAATGTTAGTACGAAATAGTAATATAGTTCTTCAAATATCATATTACTACGAGTATGATCGTCTAGCATAGCTTGATAACAGATAAAATAAATTTCTATATTTAAACCATACATTGTATGCAACATGTATGTACAGATGATATTATCTAAGTTTGTTATCTCCAAGTATAAAAATTAAAAATAAATAATCGATGCGTAGTATAATATTAAATATGCATGACTTTCATTAAAATAGTTTTAATAATTCCGTTTTAAATAAGCTAAATTTTTGTTTAAATTTCAAAGTCAAAACTTTTGATTAATTTAAATAGAACTTTGTTTATTACTTTCATAACATTATTATGAAGGAATTATGTTTTAGAGAATACACTAAAATGGTAATTACAATATAGAACTTCGTTCGATATTGTGAAGCTCAAACCACTTGCCTTCATTGATTGCAAAGCTAACCAGTTATTTAGAAATTTGCCTTTAAATACAAAGTAGTTATAATTTTAATATATACGTTATTTAACTGCAACTTAATAAAGATTCATTTATAGCATTGAAAAGTATCCGATAAACTACAGTAAATACTCTTTGTTTTATTATATTTTTAGCAAATACACTTTTTCAGACGCAAAATATTTTAAGTGAACGTTCTTAAGACGCTGTCAAGAAACAGAGATAAAATAATCCAGATGCTAAAAATGACAAAGCAAAGACTTTGTTCGCGTTACATGAATTAATTTAAACGATATAAAAAAATACTAATTTCTAGATATAGTCAAAATAAATCATTTAGAAAATATGAGGTACAGTTCTGTACATGTGTTTTTCAATGTTCAGAATTCCTTTCAATAAATTGTTAAAAAATAGCTGAAGCCAGAATTTATAATTTTCATATATAGGTTAATACTTAGAAGTTGCCATTAATAAATTACAATGGTTAAATATTGTCATAAAAGTAATGCTAAGGATTATAGTATACTATAATTAGTACATCACCAATGGCGCCACTTGTAAGAACAGTTTCCTTTTTTGTTTCTGGATAAGTCGAATTTGACAATTTTATATTTTAAACTCTGGAGTTATTGCTTAATAAAGTAAAAACGGAAGCCTTAATTATTAAATTTTATATAAAATATATTTATAAAGTTGTGTTTTATTTTACCGTGACTGAATAAATTCGTAGGACCGTGGACACGAACTCTTAGAGATAACGTTTTAATAATTTCGTCTTTTTACTAGTTATAACAATAAGTCGTTGAAATACGTATTTACAAAGCATTTTATTTAATTGTCTATAACAACTGTTCAAATAAATTTACATTTTTAACGTAATTCGCATGCATTGGATTACATTTCTCGTTTGTGATGCAATCATATATTTAATGTTAAAATTTAAAGCAATTAATTTAAAATGTATATTAAGTACATCTGATTTAGTTAATTAACTTATTAAAAATTTCTCTCCTACTTTCAAATAATATAACATAATATTAATAATAACTTCGATTGTAAGTTAGTTTGTTGAATTTGAAAGTCAAAGGACTTGGAGTGTTTAACAAGAAAGTTAGACCGTAATATTAGCCTTTAAAGTCAGTCAATCCGAAGCCTAATCTGAAGCAGGGAAATGAATTCTCGACCCTGTTTAAATAATATACAACCCTCGGCACTAAATCTTGGTCTTATTAAAATTTCAATACAATTACACTTAGCTCACTTATAAAGTTATTCGACTGGAATTTTGTATAGAAATATTATGAAATGTAACATTTATTTTTCATATACATACGAACTGAATAAGGCAACTATTTCTCCTTATGATTATATATATAAAGCTACTAACCATTGTTATGTATTAAAAAGATGTATCTATGTCTGTATAAAACTAGATGAAGCCGTGACTTCGTCCGCGTGAAACAATGTCTTTTGGCAGCATTGTTTTGATAAATATGTCGCTTGCTTTATTTTGTATTTTAAAGACCCTAGTTTTGGTATTCATAGAATGTTTCACAATAATGCTAGTTAGTACAAATAGCCATTATATCTCAGTATATATGTAGATTGTTTGGACCATCAACACGTAACACTTAACAGAGAGACAATAAGCCATATAAAGATATAATACTTCTCATATATCATCCACTAATAGATATCCCGTTACATTTTTAAATGTGCATACATTACCGTATACATGTTAACCTGACAAGAAAACAAATTAAAATATATTAAATGAGTACACTGGTCGAATATTTGAAGCAGCGACGCAACCCTGGGCTCGCTTTATGGAAAACCTTAAAAAACCAGTCTAAGATGATACCAATTTCATGTAGAACTTAGTTCAACTTACATTGATTACTAGAAATGTTTAGAAATTATATTTTCAACTAGTTTTTAATTATAATTATTTCTTATAAATTTTCTTTATATAAAATAATGTTATATAAGCAGAGTTTAATTTCGGATGCTACTGAAAAGAGGTATACTAGAAGTATGGATAGTTCAATAAATAAATTAACTAATCGTTCAAGGTGATTCTTTAACTTGATAAACGCTATAATCTGTATGAAATTTACTACACTATATTATTGATAATCAAATCTTAATCGAAGAAGCTGTTTCTCAACTTACCTTGTACAAAAGCACTGAGAAATATACAATTTTTTTAATAAGATTTGTTGTAGGTTTTAATTACATTAGTAAATAATTAAATTATATATTTTCGAATGCATATTCTACGCACATACAACAATCCACTACATTTTTATTATGTGTATACTTTTGAACAGATAATCTTTTATAGTATTTTGTAGCACGTATTTTTTATTTGCAGTAAGTAATTAATAATAATATATATTTTCGTAAATCCATGTATGAACATCTATAATATTGTGATGTTGATGTCAACGTCTTAAAGATGATATAGCCTTATATAACATGAGGTGGTAGGCGGTATATAGACAACCTTAGAACTATGTTAAACAAACTGTTACTGATATAGTTTCTTAAATAAAGATAAATTTACTTATTGGTATTTAAAGTTTTAGGCTAAGATGATTTCAGTGGAATAAAATTTATAGAATATTATGACATTTATTTTAGGAATATTATTTTATCTTTAGGTTTTATATTAAAGAATTGATCTCCATTCTAAATACATGTAACATTGCTAAATTCCATCATGAACAGTTTCCATTGATAAATTGTGTATAAATATTTATTATTTGCTGTTACTTTATTACGTACCAGAAGATTTGGTAATTTATAATTTAATGACACTTTTAATATCCTACTGCGATAGATCTCTCCTTCACAGGTAAATATTCTGCGTATTTTATATTCCATTATTTATTCAGTACAAGAGACATTTCTAAAGGACGT